CATATTTCCTAAATGTCAGTGGTATGAAAGGAAAAGCTAGATGTCCTCTATTCTGTCCTGCTTAGCGAGGGAATGGCACTAACCCTCTTGCCCCATCAATGTTTGTCTGCATTTGGTACAATAAAATCCAGCTTCAATAGAAAAAAACAAAACCCCACATATTCAAGTTATACTACACAGGAAAAAAATAGTAGTGCTGGCTCATGATGATGGTCCCCTCTCAACCACTGTCCTGGAATGTAGTTTCACAAACGTTTATAATACATAAAATAGATCACTGGTAATACTAAAGCACCTTTTAGACTGGATCTGATAATTTATTGATTAAGGGTAAAATTAAGTAAATGAGTTCGCATTTACTGAGTGAACAGACCACAGTGATTTTGTGAAGATGTGAAGGAACCAAGAAAGAAACTCAAAGCTCTGTTTGAGGTAACAGATTGACTTCATAACATAAAGGCTTTGCTAGAAGCCTTTTATTGTTTAGCTCCCATTTCTGCCTTTTAACAAAGACAAGATGGAAATAGAAAACATTCAGATTTTGATTTACAATCCTTGTAAATCAAAAGAACAAATGTCAACAGTAGCGAAATAGAACTTAATCTGAGATCAGAAAATAAATATTAAAGCAGAAAGGGAAAGTAGCCTGTTGGCAGGGTAATAAATTGCTTTATACTTATTTATAACCTTAATATGAAGGTATAAATGTAGGATTAATAGATATGGACCAAGTTTAATAATTAAGCATTAGCAACTTTTCCTATTGATCTCTTACTATGTAAACACCATGGTAATTGGTACACTATACATCCATTGCTAACTAATTAGATTTCTAAGAGCTTTGGAGAGTTGCTTTAAATTGGGTTTGCTCCATAGCATCAAAGAATCATGGACAAACTGAGCTAAAGTTAGCTTTCAGGGTGATTCTAAGACAATAAAAAGAAAGATGCTTTTTAAAACACATCATAGTCCTAGCACACTTTTACTGTCAAAGCATTTTGCCTGCAGCAAGCAACACTGTTCTTCAAGTGAAGCTGCATCTGTACTTCAAATGAACACAGAGCTGAAAAGTAGAGAGCTCTGACTCCAATAAAAAGGAAGGCTCTTTTGGCTTCATAATATATTTTCCAGTGCTAGCTTTAATCTAAATCAAATGCCCATCTTTCTTGCTGTTCATGCAATGCAACTGCAGCACATGCTTAAGTATAGGAAAATTGCAAGTGCCTAACACCATCAAATTGTACTTCCATCTAGTCTGGAATCTACATCAGGCAGAGGATAATAACTTCTGTTTAAACAGGCAGAAACTATTCTCCGTCACTAATTAATTCAGAAACTGTTCCACAGACCTAGCCAAATAGCTGCTGGGCATGGAGATCTGGACAATCAAACAGGTATTTTCTGTTTCTAAACTTCCTCCCAAGCAGTACAGCAATGTCAGAGATTCTTTACAATGCTCTGCTAGCAGGTCTGGCATCTATAAGGTACAGGAACTGCTGGCAAAGTATTAGCATAGCAACACACCTCGTGGGATTCTCTCTGCCATTAGAATATTGCTAGAAAACAGCCCTCCAAGGCAGACTTCAATGCTATACAGACCCCACCAAATCCCAGCAAAAGCCAGGAAAATTTTTCTTGTCTAGCTGTCCATTGAATTGACATTCCTAAAATGGGGAATTCAATTTTAAAGTCGTGTCTCTTCAGGCACTCCTGGAATAGCAAATTTGCAGGGCGGTTCTGAGCTGCTCAAGGAGAGGCCTTCGATTTCAGTGGTTCCATCACTTTAATGCAGCAGCCCTGACGTGCCCCTGCTTTTCTCCTTGGTGTTCTCACTGCATGAGACAAGCTTCCGTGGAGTTCATGGGATCTACATAAGCTGTGTGTGTGTGCAAACCACTGATGGGCACTGTCATCACTGCCTTAGTGTGGTGTCTGACTCTTTGAAAAGGGGCAACAAGTCAATCAAAAGCTGTTCAATTCAAATGAAAACCAGCTTCTGGTGTTTAATACACTCTGTTATATTTTGTTTGTCATTATCTCTCCAGACCAGTGACTCAACCCTGTAAAACCTTCACCTTGATCACAGTGTTGACACATGATGGCAGCCATTCAGCTGCCATGGACACCTATTTATGTCTCCTCTCCTCGTTTTGAAACAGCCAAGCAAGATAAATGAATCTCAGACTGCTAAACGACATAAAGACTTATATGAAATAATAGAAACTGTGCCTTTTAGCCCCCAAAAAATAATCAAGCAAGTTCTCCAGGTAAATTTAAAAAAGGAACTGGCTTTAGCAAAAAATTTCAGAAATGATCAGTGCCTTGTTGTTTCCATGCAGCTCTGCCTGCCTCAGATGGGCACCCACCACAGCTGTGCCTGAGCTTCTGTCACTCAGGAAGTACTGCCCGTAGCAGAGTCTCTTTGGTATGTCTTTAGCTCCACACGTCTACAGACAGGTAAGGCCTGCAGTGGGCAGTTTTTAATATTGAAACAGAAAACTGTGACATGCCTAATGCTGTGAGGAACATCCTGAAGGCCTAGATACCACTCTGAAGTACTTCCATTATCTAACCAGTGTACAACAAAACAGATTAAATGCCAAGCTGCTGCAATGGGACCCAACCTAAAGTCCATTCACTTAAATGGGAACCTTTTCAACGACCTCAGTTTGCTCTGGAGGATAAAAGTGGTCATTAAAAGATAACTTCCATTTTAACTAACAAGAGCAGATGGAAAGCAGTCAAGTTCCCAATACTCATAGACTGTTATACAGATTAGACCTTTTACTCATGACTAAGTTATACCTTACCACTCAGACTGTCCCCATGGCACTGAAAAGAGTAAAGTTCTGCTTATATGAGAAAAGGTACCTGTAAGAAAATGGGGGGGGGGGGAAGGCCAAAATTAGAGGAAAAACAATAATTTGTTTGCATACAGACCAGGCTACTTGGGATAATAAACAAGTTCCTGTTAAGAATTACATACTTCGTATCAAAATGCAAAATGTCTCAGTTTAACTTAGTGAAAGTACATTTTGACTCTCATTCATTTCTTTTGGGTTAGGTGATACAATTCTCATCTGCAACTTGACAGGATGTAAAAAATAATTACAAATGAAAAGGTTATTCATAATTTTTAAATGAGTTAATTAGTAAACCCCGCCAGAATCACTCATTACAGTAATTAATAATTGATTATACTTGAAATTAAACACAATTTTTCATCAAAATCTAATTAAATATCTGCCTTTTTTCTCGTTGCTCAGAACACTGGGTCTGGCAGAGACAATCTTTGCTAAACATGTTTATGCTGAACTGAACCATTGAATTTGATTTTTAATAATTGGTAGTTCCTTTAGAAATTAGTAATTATGACCCTTAATTATAGTGGTTCAACCTACTCAGCATTTCTGGCACCTTGCCAGCCACCCATGGTGTCTGGCAAATGCCATAGAGTTCACCTGAATGGAGAGGATAAAAAGGATGAGAGGGCACTCAATGGACCTTCCTTTTAACAACATTAACTGTGGTTTTAAGCAGGAGTGTGATCTTTTGTGAACTCTGAGATAGGTTCTGAGTTGTAGAGCAGCAAACTAAACTCCATCTATCAACCAGCACACACCTCCTCCTCCACCAGAATGAACTGGCACTGCTATGCTGAGCTGAAATGATTCTCCTTTGACACACTGAGATTATGTCCAAAGGAACCATATTCAGGACATACATAAGGAGAATACCAGACAAATGAGAAAGGCGACTCCAAATGTACATAGCAAATGATGAAAACTGACTGCATATTTCATCAAACTGCTGCTGATTTAATGTTGGTTAATTAATCATTCCTGTTTCTCTTACAGGAGACATAAAAGTGACCAGAGTATGATGCAAGGCAGAAGTGGAAAAGTATCAGTCATTAAAGAAGTGTATATAAAAGGAACACAGTAAAAGCAATCCTTTGTGGTGGTGCTAATCATATTTATGTAAAATGAAAGCAAAATCTTTCCATCCAGACTAAGTTTTGTAATTCTAACCACAATCTTTTATAGATCATTAGCGTACAGGAAGTCACAGCAAAATCAAAAAGACTCATTTGTGCCATGAGAAAAGGGCTTTTTTACCCATGATCACTCCTAAAAGTGTCTGACAACTGGAGTTTGCACCACAGACAGTTTAACACAGAAGTCTAGGAATGGACTTTTCAAAGACATTTATAACAGACATATGAAACAGAACTGAAGAAAAAGTAATGGCAACATTCCAGCTTTACAGGCTTAAAAATACAATTTTCACTTCTAGCAGTTCAATTACTTTTGCAACATACAATAAGAATGCTTTTTTGCAATGAACACTGACAAGCCGCATAAAACAAAGAAATTCAGATCATGCACAGTTAAAGAAAAATCCAATGCTTTTCCACCCAAGATGCAAATTTCACCAGCATCACCTAGTCTAAAAAGGCCCTGATGAACTACAATCTCAACCCAGTCCTTCTCCATCCTCCTGGTCACTCTGTGAACTCCAATATAATTAGTTAAATGTCACTGAAATAGGTGTGTCACCAAATGACAGAATTAAACCACATTTTTGTGCACCAGGATCTTGGTTCTGACCCTGTTCCATCAAAGTCAACACTGAGGGACCTGGATGTGACTGGCACTAGGACATGGACTTCACCATGTGTTTTAATGGGATACTTAGAGAAAACCTGGTGGCTTTGCCTCACTCCAGGTACACTTTCCTCTGCAGAATGTAAACAGTCCATGATATTGAAGGGAGTACAACTCCCTCATATGACTAATGTTTTACTAAGCCCTTCTGGCTTTATGACAGGTTTTAAGCTCCCTACCACAACACTGCAACACAAACAAGTCAACAGATGCCTTATTTACCCATCACTTTGTACCACAGTCTTGACCCTCTGTTTCCCAAACATTAGCAGTACGGGAGGGTTTGTAGAGAAATGAAATAAAAGAAAGAAAAACAAACAGCAACAAGCTTACCTATGAAATAGGCCAGCAGGATCACCAGCGTGACTGAGATGACAATGGCACTCAGAGCAGCACATTTCCAGTTACAGTACTTATAGGGTTTCTTCAGGTTAAAGGCAGGCCTAGAAAAGGTACTTCTGGGAAGGGGCCTAGGGGGAGGCGAGTACACAGTGCTGGACGTCAGGGGATATCCTGGCGACGTTGTACAAAAAAGGGGAGAAGTGCCTCCAGGTTTGAACAGGAAGTGCCTGAGGGAAGAAAGACCAATAGCAAGTGACTCCTCACAAATCGATGCTGAGGGAGGCGTGGGGTGGGAGAATGACGACTGCTGCCAGGACGAGGAAAGCAGCTCCACACAATGCTGGCTACGGACATGGATGGCATGCACAAAAGAGAAGAATAAAAATCAAAGGCAAGTCACACAGAGTAAAAGAAAACAAAACCAAACAAAAAAGTCATAGTGCCAACAATGCCACAGAGAACTCTTCAAGGGCAGGAGTCCCCTCTGTGGAAGAGCTGGCATTAGAGTGAGATGAAAACCCCAAGCACAGCTACGACAGACTCGTGGCACGGGCAGAACTGGGAGCCTGCTCGCACTCCCACAGAAATGCCCTACGGAGGCTGAAGAGGAGCAGAGGTCAGATTAAAGAAGGGAGGGCGGTTATCAATTTATTGATCACTGCATGAGAGCGTTTTTTGTGTGGCATCAGTGAATGGAGATGGGGAAAAAGAACTTAAGCCATTCCATAGCACCCAAATTGTCACAGAGGGGAATATTCACACTGTCCCCATCCAGCAAATTTACGTGTCAGACAATGGCGTGGCTAAAAGCATCAAACTCCTGTGTGTTGCCAGTGGGGAGAGGAACCTGCTTCCACAAAGCAGTCCAGTGCACCTTGGATTGAAGGCTACTTTTAAAAAAGTGTGAATTACTGTCAAAGGCAACAGCATTTCCTGTCCAGTGACACATTGGGAGGCACCATATTTTGCCCATTATGACAAACGCAGCCTGAGAGCCAGCCCATGAGCACCCCGGGTGACACTCATGGAAGTCAGCATGAAAAGAACACACTGAAGCCCATGAGTTTCTGAAATGCAATGTCCCAATGGAACTTCTGTACATGGGAATACTAAATGAAAAACCTGATTTTGGTGGGACATCATGCTGCAAAAGGCATTCAAATTCTGGGAATGAAACCTGGGAAATGGAGTGTACTAATCTACCACCATGCTTCTGTAAAACAAAAATGCAGCTTGTGAGGACTGAGAAACAGTCACAATGCCCTTTGCACATTCTGCCATGGCTTATGGGGCCAGATTTGCAGCAAGAGTAAATGCAGTTAGCATGGATCCATGGGAGTCAGTCAGTGGCTAATATCAGATGAAGAGGTGACTCTATTTTCCCCATGAAGTTACTTGTGCAGTCACAGGGGGAAACATCACATGCGGAAACATGTGAAAACATCACAGTGCAGAAAAACCACCAATTCATGCAGGAAAATGTAACATATAATTATCCAAAATAGGTGTTTTCAGTGATACAGCCATGGTTCTATTGGTACTCGAAGCATGACTGCTAAGCATTAGAGAAAGATTCTTAATTTCTACTAATGCTTTACATAAAAAAAAAAGATTTTTACAGTAAGTCAGATACTATCCCGTTTTTGAAATGTATTTAGATAGAGATATATCTGTTCTGAGCAAAGAGGCACCTGCAGTGTTCAAGTACACTAATAAGCTCTTAAGTGAATTATGGCTACCAAATTATGAGCTGCCAACACAAGATTCAACAGTTTTGGCACCAACTATCAAGTTAAAAGTCCACTATATTTTAAAAGTTACAAGACCAAAATTTGTGCAAAGATGCCAGAATGAGTGGTTAAAGTCAAACTCCAAGGCTTGGCTTGCATACGCCACTAGCAGACACTTGTCAAATAATGTATGTGGAAGACATCAGTTTACCAGTGAAGTACCAGGCTGTCAGCACAATAAAAGTTTCAGATTTTTATGAAAATTAAATTAATTTTGGTTAATATGGGAGTTGAAATTGCTGTAGGTACTTCTTACAAATCAAATGACTTTCAAAACAATAAGGGGATAAAAAGCAAATGGCATGCAGTGGCTCACTAGCATATTAATGAGTTTTCCATTAATATGTACAGGACACAATGCTCCAAGCCCCAGAAATTAATTTTTTAAAGCCATATTGGAAGAGGTCAGCAATGGTGTTGCCCTTAAACATCACTGGTGTGACCAAATGCTTTCATGCAAAGATCATAATGACTGTACAGTAAACAGGAAGACCACGTAAGTGTCACATACCCATCATTGTAAGCACCGTCATGTCGGGAGGAGGTGAGAATGTCCATCTCAATGAGGTTGTCCTGCAATGTCTCTAGGAATGTCTGCTTTGCTATGTTTCTACATACATATGGAAACATGAATGAAGCCAGTGAGTCATGCATATATGAAGTGTGATCTTATAAACCACAATGGTTATAGTGCAGTTGTGCATGGAATTAGAATGATGGACCATATATCTATATGTATAAAATGCTACACATATACATATATAGCTTTTAAAAATGTTTACTTCTTTATATAAACACTATATATACGCATATACACACATACAGGCACACACGCCCATGTGCATGTATCAAAAAAGTGGATGTCTTTGTTCATTACACATTATTTATTGCCAGTGACACACAAAACCGTCCAAACTCCTGGAACCAAAGGATTAGATTTCAATCCAGCCCAGCTGTAATCTGGTTATACTCCTGCACCTGTATTACTGTAACTCTGCAAAGGCACAGCACAGTATCTATATCCCACTGTGGTTTGTCAACTAAATATCCATTCCTTGGTAGCACTCTTGCATCTAACTTTCTTACGGATTTCCAGCAAAAATCTGCCACTCCTTTGCTTTAGTTTCAGTTTTGGATTTAAGAACTTTTTAGTTTCCAATTTGATTAATTTATTTTCCTTTGTGGAATAATAACTCACTATATAGAGTAAAATGTAAATTTTCAAAATGTAAATTTTGCTCAGTATGAGTATTCCAAACGGAAGTCTCTTGGTGATAAGCAGATATAAGCTAGAAACAGGTTAAGCTGTAACCCAAATTCCAACACCAGAGTGTTGGCTATAATCTGGATAATACAGGCAATAAGCAAGATACTTAGGGCCTGCACATGCAAATGCTTGGGACTGACACTGCACACAGCAGGGATATTGCAGTATTTGTCCTCCCGCCATGTTCTTTTATGAGTCACATTTTGACCTACAAATGCTAAACTGTTTTGTACTTTTTGAGTAGAATAGCAGGAACATAAAGAATTAACTCAGAGGCACAGCTGGGAACAAACTGTGTCTTTCTCACCTTTGGGCTTGTTTCTCAAGACCTGGCAAAACAGCATTCTTCCCATGTTTTTTAAACAAAATACAGTCCTGATTTTGCCAATGTTTGTTTTCAGCATCAAAACTGATTCTAAGCCTGAATGTGAATAAATCCCCTGGCAAAAACTAGTAAAAAAAATATAACAGCATTGTGACATTTTATCACTTATGCAGGATTAAGAGCCTAAAGCATGTAAGTGATGTGAACTCAGGAATTCCTGTCAAAGAAAATGGATTCAGGTAACATGCTAAACAAGAGAAACCAGCCCTGTCACATTATATGAACCTTGATACTGTTTCTTCTAAAACATTCTCAAACCTAATTTTCATTTCTACTTCTTCCTCTTCCTGCTGCTAATGCCAGCTCTTGTTTAGCTCAACTCCCTGCTTTTGGACGCCTTTGGGCTGCTTTGACAGAACAGATCTACTCCTTGATCTGAATGAAAGTGAAGTAACTCCTATTCATAGCTGTGGAGTAAAGTGGATCAACATGCATGAGCTGTGTGCCATAGCACTTGAGACATCAATCCATCCCCAAGTGTTTGTGGCTTCCTCACATTCCCTGGGAATGCAGGAAAGACTGAATGTTGAGTTCAACGCAAAAAGAAGCAGCGTATGTGCATGCACTGAGCATTTAATGGGTAAGAGGCAAGGCACCTAGCAACACACCAATCAATAAAAGTTCATCGTTAGTTAAAATCCATGTCAAACTGGTTCCATGAATTTCAGTTGTGGATTGTCGATAGAAGAGAAGAGGGGAGGGTTACACAACCTCATAATGTATGCATTTGTAACAGACAGATCGCTGGGTCACCTGAGGGACTGATGTGTGACTGTCTTCCTCACGGAAGGCTCACGGAGTCTGCTCCCTTGGAGATTACCTGTAAATCGCTGGCTAGTTTCAAAACACTCTCCTTTCTCATTAGCAGTAGTGGTGGGAGAAATCTGACCTTACATGATTACCACATGAAATTTCCTGGGAATGGAAGTCTCCTGAAAACTGTTGGTTTGTCAACTAAATATCCATCTAGTTGGCATTTGTTTGCTCCCACAAGGTCTCATGTAAAGGAACAGAAAGGAGGCCACAGAAGGAAGAAGACCGAGGAATAAATATGGGGGGAACTTACCTGTCAGGAGTGACTGCTGAGCAAAGATCTTCTCACCACAACCTTGATAATACATGGCTTTTAAAGCAACAAAAAAGGGAGCAGACAGGAAAAGAAAGAGGAGAAAGGAGAAAGAGAGAAAAGGGAGTAAAGGGAAACTAATGAAAAGGAGGGAGAGAAGAGGAGGGGCTCTTCCTCTTGCAACATATAAAATTCTGAGATATGCTTATCCTGTCAGTTGTGTATTTGTGCTGCACATCTCTGCTTGCCCTTGCATTAAGATTTAGAAATTTCCAGGCAGTGACAAACCAGTGTGAATCCCCAGTTCTGAAAACTGCCTGGAGTCCATGGGAGTCAAAATCAAGCCACTCCAAACTCTGGTTAAATTCTTTAACTGCAGGCACATTCTACAGCCTGTGACAATCCTAGTTTAAAAGATGCAGCTTTTTTATTCTTGTGTTCCCTCTCTGTTGACTAATATGGGATTAAAAAAAAAAACAACAGGAATACAATTCCATTTTTGACATGAGATTACCATAATCTCCTAACTTCAAAAGCCTTTCTTCTTGGATTAATGTCTCTTTATATTTCTACATACTGGACATTTTATTCTCCTAGGTGATGGTCTTTTTATTTGGTTCCAAAAACCTTTGCAGTGGAGAAGATGGGGAAGATCAGTCTCATGAAGAGGCTGAATTGGGCATCCAAGTTTGCTAAAAAGCTCTGAAGCGTGGTCTTTTATGTCTACACAATTCTCACTGAAGGACATGGAAGACCTCTGCATGCCAGAAGAGCTGACTGTCAGAGTGGAAGTTAGTAAAAGATACACTGATCAACTCAGCCTCCTCTCTTTATGACACCATTATAACACATTTTATTTTCTTAATGTTGTATAAGTGAAGGAACAGTCAGTAGTGCTCATTTGCTGTTGGCACAAAATTACCTATTTTCCAACATGCCAAAAGAAACAAAAAAAATCACGGGGTCAAATTTTCTTGTCAAAAAGAAACATGGGGTGAAATTACACCACTGCAACCAGTGTATCAAAAGCCTCACCATCAGTCTTAAAATGACTTGTTTTCTACCAAATTAATAAAATGGTTAGACTGAGGACCAAGTACAAATGTGACTGATCTGTGATGCTAGAGTGAAATCATCAAATGATGCAGAAAGAGCTCTTCATGCGGTAGACCTCCAACTGCCAGTCTAATTAACAGCAATAATGTGACCAATCCAACCCGCAACAAGAGCAGTTAGCTTCAGATCTTGAAAAATTTTCATCCACAATGATTTCACAGAGAAGAAATGAGGACAGCCTTTAAGGTTTTGCACTACTAAAACAGTATATTATCTCTTCTATAAAGAATTCACCACCTGGCCAGGAAAAGGCACAGGACTTCCTTCAGAATTATAGAGGATTATCACAAAAAAGCTGCAGGAGTAGGGCCTAAGTATTTTTTAATGTAATTTTAATAAGAATTACCACATAAAACTCAATACTTTGGTATTTATGCTTGAGAATTACTAATACAATATAATTGCTAAAACTGTTGCCAAATCACACTTGCATTATTTGCTTATAATTTTGTCTTAATCTTTTGGATCCAGCTTCTTAGTTGAATCTTTTTAATCAAGCAGGCACAGAGAAATTAATTATCTTTAAATGCCACAAAATGTGATATTGAGGTTGTTTTGGAAGTTTCAGAGGGCCAGCAGATATAGCTAATTCTCAGAAAGATTGACATATGTGCTCATTTAAAAAAAAAAACATTCTCTTAGCAGAAGTTTGCAAAACTGGGTACAACTTGTCCCATGACACAGTGATAACTATTGCCACCGCGCAATGAGATTCCTACAGGCAATGATGTGAAAAATTTGGGTCCTGTCTCAGTTTTCAGTTATTGTATGATTTTTTTCTGCCTAAAATCTTGTTGGTTTCAGAAAGTTAGACAAGGACAGTGAGCAAGTGCACCATGTCTGAGGCTTGGAAGACTCCTCTGCAGACTGAAAAAGACACCATGTATGGGAGCTAACAACTACTGCATCCCCAGGGGCTGCTCAGTAGCAAAGGAAATAGTGAATCAAAGCCTCTGGAGAAAGCAACTGGGACTGCAAGTAGATGCACTCACCATCAGATAGGAGGACTAAGGCTGAGGGAGTGCGAGAGCTCTCTTTTCCAGAGCTGACAGAGAACCTGAACAAAGCTATGAACTACAACAACTTGGTACACCCTTGTCACACCCTTCAGGTGTTGCATAGGTGGAAAAGAATTTGAGAGCTAAATGGAAATACCATTAAATGGCTGATGCTGGGCTATCCAGTGTTTCATGCTTGCTGGAGCAATGTTGAAAAGGGCAGCAGCTGACCTCTCTTCATTAGGTGAAACAAGATCAACTTTCCTGAATTACGTACTACGAAAGTACTGCTTGATGAGGCACAGCTACAAGGCTAAATCTTTTCAATATACTGACTGATTTCAGTTTTTTAAATAGGATATTGATTTATCCTACCACATAGGAAGAAAAGACATTAAAAGAAAATAAAAGAAAGAAAACCAAGAACATTTTAATCTATGATCCTGATTCCAATTATAAATGAGGAAAATAACCTTATAAACAGCTGTTAAGGACAACATTTTTAGTTTATGACAGAAGAGCAATTTCCTCTTCTCCTAGTCCAAATAAAAAGACACAAGGAATAGTAAATACAATGCAAAATGCATAAGTCAAACACCAGTTCACAAACTAGGTGGCTGGCTATGCAGATGTGTGTATTGTCCATAACATCCTGAGCACACACAGTCAGAACACTCTAAGTGCTAAAGAAAGTGACCTACCTTGTCTCCAGTGGGATGTTACTGTTGAGTAACCAGTTGTCCTGAGCATGGGCTGGCTCTTGAGTAGTAGCTGGTTGTTCTCCAGAGAGAGAGTGGTCCGTAGGAGCTGGGCTGGGGTTGCTGCGTGGAGTGAAGTTCCCTCTGTTCAGGGAATTGATGGAGGCTGCGTGATGCTGATTTGGGGTGTGAGCATGTGATATTGGAGGTGGTGGAGTTCGAAGTCTTGAATGATTTTGAATATTTGGAGGATGATCTAAAACGTAAGTAAAATACTTTTAAGGTTCATGACTTGAGTAGTTCCATACTGTTTTCATCTATGTGCAGACACTTCTAAAAAGTGGCTGGGGTGTCACATATCCTAAATGAAACTCAAAAGTGTAACAGAGCCTTGTTCCATATGTTCTAATGACACAGCATTGATCTCTGAGCCAGCCAGAAAAATAGTTCAGTCTCATGCACAAAAGTTATGAAAGTTTAAAACACTGCAGACAGGCTGTCCTGACAGCCAAGTTAACTCCGATGAACAACTGCAGGCTGCAAACTGCAATTTATCTGTGGCACTGATTTGTGATAAAGCATGAAAAATACAACCATTCTGGATAGATAACACGTTAGCCAGGTTATGATGGATATACAGCTCCCAGAGAAGTTTGCTCTGCCCGTTTTGCCCGAGAACTTTCAATAGTTAAGTCAAGAAGAAGACTAAGATTACATTTAATCACAGACTGGGTTTGGTGAAAGCCATAAAACCATGTCAGGGCTACACAATTTAACAAAATCCAGTAGTTTGTACTGTTAGAAATGTACTCAAACTGAGTAAAAATGCATGTGGCATAAAATCTGAGGTGTCAGAAAAGTGAAACAACAAAAAATGAATAAAGATGTTAAAGATCAGTGGTATGGCTACTTTGAGTAAAACTCAGAGTATTTTTTAGCCAAGAGACTGAGGAATGCAGACTGAGGAAGATAAACACCTATGAAAGATAAAGAAAGTGCTGATAATATCTCTATTTTTACTTTTTTTAGCTAACCATAAAGCACTTTTTTCATGGTTTTTTTTGGAAATGAAGGAAACTAAAGTATTTGATGGAACTGGAGGGAGATTGGCAGTATAGCACACTGCATATGACAAACAGGACATGTGAATTCCTGCTCAAAAGTCATTAACACTGTGCACTGGAACAGATTGCCCAGAGAGGTTGAGGAGTCTCCTCATTGGTGAGGACTGAGGACTGTCTGGATCCAATTGTGTGCAATGTGCTCTGGGACAACCCTGCTGGAGTATGAAATTTGGACCACATGATCCACTATGGTCCCTTCCAACCTCACCCATTCTGTGATTCTGTAGTACACAATACATTAGTGATGCCTTATCAGAAAAGAATGTCTATCCTATCAATCTAATACTTACCAGACTTCAATACATGAGAAATTAACCCCCATTTATTCACTAATTAGAGACCTCAGAACTGAACAAACTGTATGTAGTTATAAATTACAACAACTGGTATCAGACATGTAATGATACTTCTGAAATTTGGATTAGGACTTGGATTTAGGAGACGAACAGAAAAAGCATTCACAGTGTCTCTGCAGCTTCTCAGATAGTTAAATACATTAGATAAAACATGGAGATGTTTAAAACATGAGAGAGCCATCCTGCCCCTCCTCACCCTGCACTGACTCACACTGCCTCATCATTAACTATGGCTGGTTATATCAGAACCTTATGGTATTTGAGGTGGTCTAGTGAAAAAAAAAAAAACAAACAAAAACAAACTGTGTTAATTACAGGGGTGCATTATTCTGACTGTACATATATTTACCTTTGGCTTTATCAGGTTAGACACACAAACAGGAGTATATATTCATAGGGATAACTGAATGATTTTAGGGTCCCAATCTTAAAAGCCAATTTTACCCTAAATACTCAGAAAGGTGAGACACATACCTACTGGTGTCTCTATTTTATGTCAGCAACACAGAAAACAACAGGTTCAAAAATAGGTCTATACTGGTCATCTACATTTGGACAGAGAGACTTTCCATGGGAATCTAAGGAACTACTAAAAAATCTGACTTAGCAAAGCTCAACCAAACTTATAAAAGCCCTGTAATGCCAATAATACTGACCTCTGACTTCCCTATCAGCCAGGAAATGAAAGGGAAGAGCAATGAGCATGGACTGTATAGACAAGAAGTATCAGAACTAAACCAGGTTTGATCTCAGCTCTGCAACACCATGTGAATTGAAGTGTCCAACCATTCTTGGACTGGTTGTTACTGGGGAGTCTTGCTTAGTTGAAGTCCTAACCACAGAGACAAAAGAAACAACAGTGAAGGAATTCTACTCAAGGTTTAGTTAAATTAATGACTCTTCTCCTACTCAACAGACAGGAATCAAGATAGGAAGAGCGTATTAAATAGAGGGTTTCCAACTTTTAGGGCTGTCAACCTATCACCATTAATAAGAACTTAATTCAGCCCAAAGAGAATGACTTGTCTATCTATTCAGGAGAAACATACTACAGGTTTCCAAGACCAGCTATTTAAGTTTTCAGCATAGCTCATGTCTGAGATGAATACTATGCAATCTACAAAGGGACTAAATGGGTGGATCTTGGAATAAGAAATAGGCCTTCTGCAAAGTTCTCCTGCTATTGGTTGACTTTTCCTTCTGGAGGCACCATTTTCACATTGTGAGTCAGAGCCTGTTTTCAAAGATCTGTTATGTAAATTTCAATTTACACCATATTATTACAGACACATTGCAGATGCTATTATGGATAATGCTTTTGAATCAAGTAAAAATGTGTTATTTTCATTCTCTATTTTCATATCCTCCGTGATTTCTTTGCTAAGCAAATACAGCACATCTATCTCACTCTGGTCTATGTGATTTTCACAGGATTTTATAGCTTGCATTTTGTTTTTTCTGACATTTAGGTAGCTTTTCCTTCCAGAATGTTTTTTATTTCATTCATATACAAATTCTGAACACTTATGTCATGTCTGAGCACTGTGGAATTTAATATACCTTGACTAGAATTAGTAATTATTTCCCTTCCTTTACGATCCTTTTTTTTTTTTAATGTCTTCTTCTCAAATTTAGGAACATCAGAAATAAGGTATAGACAAAAGCACAAGCCAGGAAATTATCCTACTGAAAATTACTGCAGCTGTGCAGGATTTCTTGATGCAAAAAACCCCCTGTTTAGGTTCTTACCCTCTGCTGTGACCAAAGCTCCTATGGGATTTGCAACAGATCATGAAAGCCAACCAAAAAGAAAAAAAAATCTTTCTTGATTTCCTAAAATTTCAACTGTCCCCTTTTTTGAGTATGCTTGGAGAAGCTGCAGATGCCCCACTGCTGGAAGTGTTCAAGAACAGGTTGGATGGGTCTGCCAGCAACCCAGTCTAATAAAAGTTGTCCCTGCTGATGGCAGAGGGTTGGAACTAAAGGGTCTTTAAGGTTCCATCCAACCCAAACTGTGATTCTATGACTATTAACTAGACCCACAATGTTTGAGTGATAAAAACTGTGTGGCTGTCCTTCCTGTGTATTTCCCCACAGGAAGGACAACTTAATGCTGGCTGCAATGGCTCTCTTACATCATGTATGTGCATAGGTCTTACACAGTGGGAAGATGCTCAGATAAGGCATTGGCTATTACACAGAATTTAATTTTTACATAATTGAATTCTGACAGATCCCACCACGTAGGCGAGATACAAGGGAAGTCTGCTACAGCTCTCTACATCTACCAGCAAGCCTTTACTGAGACAACAGTAGCAAAGAAATTGAGAAGACTTTATAAAGGAGCAGGACACCATGGCCAGTGCACAAATTGCACAAGATTTCCCAAGACCTTTTTTAACCAAGTATAAGATAGCTAAATGTGACTATCTGTAAGTTATCTTTTACTCCAAAAGAGAGAATTTTCAACATTTTCCTTCTTGCAGTTTCCCTCTTTGGTTTATAAAAAGACACAGACTTAATCATTCTCTCTCTCTACTTGTTGTCAGAATGAAAAACTGGACATGAACTACTCAGAGGGATCAGCTGAGTTAACAGAACACCAAAGAGTAAAACAAACACCTTGTAAAGCATTTCTCCCCCACCTATCCAAATTTCTAATAGTCTCAGAGTCAAGCAAAACAGTTTAAGGGTTGATTTGTACCTTGAAGGGAGAACAGAAGAGACCTGTCAATAGCAAAGGAGTCTTAGACACCAATCCCAGTCTTAGGCACCAGGTGCCAATGAAAGAGCATCCCAGACATAATCTTCAACATTTCTAGAAGACAGGCTGGCAACTGTGGAAATCTAAATAGCAAGAACTTAAAGAGCTCCCCATAAGCCTCATTTTCTCTAATGGGTAGCCAAACTGTATCTAACATGTCTGTATTCAAACGTAAGGAAACTTTGGAAATCTGAATGCAAAAAACAGATAGAAATCAAGCTGCTTTTATGTTGGGTTTTTTGTGTTTTTTTAACTTGTTTTCTAACATTAGAATGTCATTGAGCAACAGTGGCTTGGTAATCACAGATAAAGCAGAGCTGAAGGATAATACAGTTAATGAAGCTTGTACTTGGTACGTATTAGAGAGCCCTGACAGAAGGCTGTGAATGAAGAGCTGAATAAATGTGAACCATAAAAAATTACCAATGAGGACCTAGTATGACAAAATTTCAATAAAAGGTCTGAACCTCATGTTCCTTTTCTCTCCCTTAATCTTTAATGAGTAGTACTGTTTTGAAATTAGTCTGTGCAACAATTACACTTTCTGATTCATTAGGTTTTGGGATTGTGTTCAGAGCAAATGTGCTAACCTCTGAGTGAAAAATACATTCTCATTTTTTTCTGTTCCTTATTCTGTTCCTCCACACATTTGTCATTTGTACATCTGCTCATATACAGACAGACTGATGCCTAACTGGTGTCTGGATTAGGTACAGGAAATATTTCTCTTTACTCACTGTATATATTGCCAGGTGGAATGAATCACTCTGTGCTCCCTTGAACTTCAGCTCCACAGTAGCTGTGATGATGAACTTGCTAATGTGACTTTGGACAATCGTGCTTGTGCCCACTCACAAGGAAAAACACCCTCAGCCCCCCATCCTGCCACCACTTGTAGAGGAAACAATTTTTTTTTTTAAACAATGTACTCTGCATTCAATTGACAGAACAGCAAAGAGCCGTGCTTCAGCTACAGGACCCACTTCAATCTGCTGCAGATGTACACTCATGG